AAGGCGGTGCAGACAAGCGGCAAGAGGATGACTTCGCCAGCAGATAGGTGCTGAAGCTGAGCGTCGGTGGGGGGGGGAATCGGGGGGGCTGCCTGTCCTATGTGACGGAGAGTGCGGGCTAGTTCATCCCTTATCAGGGTGAGGTTGTCGGGGAGAGAGGGGGTAGGAGCCCTTGACTCGTAGGGCGAGGCACAACTGGAGGCTCGGGAGCCAGACCTTGAAGGGCCCGGACCAGGCCCCTCCATAGTGAAGGGAGCTGTGCGGGGTAGTGAGGGGGCTGTGCACTTAGAGACTGAAGCCTAAGTGAGGGAGGAATTAGGTGTGTGGAGATGGTTGCCACGCAAAACCCTGGAGTTTTGCCTGGCCGAATGCGGTAATGTTTTTAAGCGAGAGGAAAGTAGAGGGCGCGGAGCGTGTTCTGAAAGCTAAGAGGCACCTCGATATTTATATTCCCCGTCTAGGTAGTCACGGGCTACATCTATCTATTATCAAACAATGTACCATTCCTAATTTCCATCCCCTACTATCATACGAGGGATCCGTTTGACGCTGACCAACTTTGCATCTTGCTCAGACTACGGTCTCCATGCGTTGTGGGGTTTCTGCCAGGGCATTTGAAACCTCTCCAGCGAAAACGCACAATCTCTTCGTCTCGGAGGTTTAGGTATGAGTGTCTGGTCTTGCTTCGAGTCAACTCATCATCCTCCTTACTCCGACTGGAGTGATCAGCTCTGTCGAGAGTCTTATCAAATGCCTCATTGACTTCTCAACTTCACTGCATTGACTTTGAGTACTTTCTGCCATGATCGGACTAGTCAACGTCATAGGAAAGTTCCTTACCTACAGATAGGCCTCCGGTTGACTCTATACTATACAAGCATTAGACTGGGATCTGTGCCTCGTCCGTACAGGCATGTCCTAATAACTTATTGGACTGTTGGCGATTTTGTCCTAACAAGTTCTGTCCATGTCCGAGGTGGTCAACCTCGCTCAGCTCATTGCTCTACTGTTACCTGTCCGATTGACTCCATTCCACTTTTCAGACACAGCCTGAGGTCCCTGCTTATATATCCTGTGAACAGCTTTTGGTCGGACAGACAGTGACAACATATATGGTGTTATCAAGCATGCTTCGTTTTTCACCAGTTTATACTGTCGTGACACCAAATTCCGGCGACACTATTACTGCGCGCAGGGCCAACGGCGCGGCCGGAGGGGGGTGTTGGCTATGAAGTCTTCCCGGTTTTCAGGAGGTCTGTGCGCGGGGGGGTCTGTGCATTCATATATGTAACAAGTAGTAACATGGCTCAGGGAACTTCAGCGTTGGAGTAGGAAGCTAGTATCATGGCCACCCAGCAATGGTGAAGGAACAGGCACTGAGTTTTTGATTGCATTTATCAGGTATGATTTTATTGGTTTCAGTGTAGAATTTTATTTGTATTATGATTGGAGTACTATGTCGCCACCTAATGGAACTTAGTGGAACTTGATAGAAGAATTGTGGCTGCATGCGATACCAAGGACTTTCCTTTGCATTAGTAATCAAGAAGGATTTCTTTAGTATATAAAGGGGTGTGCTCCTTTATATTTTACTTTCTTTACGCAACCTGGTAATCTCCTTTGGATCCCTGTATCTAGGAATTATACCTTTTTTCTACTTTACTTCCTCTTGAACCCATGAACCCCGACTCTGAACCAGTGAGCCTTAAACCTTGTACAATTCAGTTCAGTTGTATGCCTGCACCCAGACCTTACCTCCAAACTCTTGCCTGCTCTGATCGTGGTGTGCCTTGGGCTACCTGACCCTCAGACCCTACCCATTATACTCTGAGAGAAAGATATAAAGAATAGGGACTAAAAGAGGTAACCATTCAACCAAGTATCTTAGAAATACTATCTGTTAAAGTCTGCTCTTCCATCAAGGGAATCAGCAGTCTTTAAATATATAATTTCATCTATGTCCTGCATGGACAAGTTCTCAAGTGTTCCTTAATCAAGGAAATACTTGAAACATCCAGAGTATCAAAAGATACTTGAAACCACAAGTAAAACAAACTAAGTATTAAAGGATACTTGAAACCACAAGTATAACAAACTGAGTATCAAAGAATACTCAAAACTACAAGTAAAACAAACTGAGTATCAAAGGATACTCGAAACCACAGGTAAAACAAACTAAGTTTCAAGGATACTTGAAACTACAAATAAAACAAAACATAAAACAAAACCTTGAACCAAATTCTAGTTTTGGTTATGTTCAGAGTCAAACGGATTCCTGTTATGAGAATAAAGAATGATATAAGAGAAGGGTACATTATTTGGTATTAGATAGATGGAGTCTGCAACTACTCAGATACAGAATATAAATGTCAAGATGTCTTTCTAGCTTTCAAAATCACCAGTGAATAGAGAAGAGATATTATCAATATATTCATTATACTTTAATACCAACTTTTACTATGAGCTTTCTTAACCACTCTTTGAGAAACCTTATCGGCCCTAGTTACAATTCACTTGATCTTAGAATTGGCTACCACCCAGCAGAATAGTACCTGGCATACTAGTATAGTTCCTTGTGAACATGTTGAAACTACTAGTACCTCTGTCAAATAGTTGCATCAGATACTCTACAGTATCAAAATTGCTCATATAAACTCTTCTCTAATAGTTCCCACTTTCACTGCCTTCTACCTCCTGGTATTTGGTACTAATCCCATATGAAATTTGCAAATTTTTCTTCCTACTCCTCCATTCACTACCATGAAATATTACCTCTTAGAATTTTAAAGCGTAAAGTAGTTTCACTCCTGATTGGTTTTCATATCTGGATAAGTCTACTTGATATACTTGGAGTAGTCCAATAGGATAACACTTGAAGCTCAGGCTTGTTGCTAATCTTATAAGATTAATAGAGAGAGTCACTGCATCATGTAATAACTTGAAGGCTTTTAGCTAATTGTTTTTTGCTTTAGTCCATACTTCTTTTTTACTCTAGCACAGAATCAATGTGCTAATAAAGGTAGCCGAATTGGGTGAACTCAAACTCATCCTGGCCTTGGTACTATTTTGATTTCAAACCAGAAGTAGGAATTGTATTTTGTGGGAGTTAGGGAGATTTTATTAATTTTTGTCTATATTTTTACTAACTTTATACCTCTATTTGATCAGATGAGGTTCATGAGCATGGGTCCAAGCACATGTTTGATAGCTTAAGACAACTGCAAATGGAGCCAGTTCCACTGGGCCGCTGTTTCTCCATGGCACAAACCTTATTTCAACCCCCTAGTACCAGATTCAATTATTCGAGTTTTTACGCTAGGCATCGCCCGAATCACCTCGCAACAGGTGGGTTAATCTCCCGTACGGGACGGCTAAAACGCTAGAACCAGGTGCTGTCTTGTTCGCCCAACAAAGATCGTGCAATGGAATATATGGTAGTATCATTCGGGTATAAACTGTGCTATCTAGAGTCTATCTGATAAGCCAGGAACTCAATTGCAGTTCTATCATACGTCGTTTCTTGAAGGTGTTATGCCCCGGGCCTAAAGGTACCGCCGAGGAGGAGTGCGGGCTCATTGACGTTGTTATGGGCGTAACTGGTGGACAGGGCAGTTGGTTATACAGTCGATTGAAGCAGGAATATGAGGGAAGTGAAGGGACATACGTAAGTGTAGCAATTCCGCCAGGCTCGAGAACCATGGTCAAGGGAAATTCCAACGAGAACCCGAGCCAGCGTTTTGTGAAAGCCCTCAGATAGTGGCCATGAGAAACCTAACGACCACCATGGCCACCGCCAGGTTAGACAGAGCCCTCCGACCGGTAGACCAGAGCTTACAATCAAGATATCCACGTTACCCCTCCCCGCCTCCATCCCCTCTCCCTGAATCCCACGAATCTCCTTAATAACCTCATCAATCCTCCCCTCTATCTCCCTAGGGCTCTCCCCTTTCCCAATCCCGATCCCATCCACCGAATCCTCACATCCATCCTTCCAAATACTAAACCCATCAACATCCAACCCCCTCCTCCTCCGGTCCCCCAATATCTCCTTCGGCCTCAAGCCCTCATATCGTCCATACCCCCATTCCCTCACCCGCTCATCGATGGCCACCTCCGTGCCCCGAGTGTCCGGCATGAGCAATTCGGCCGTGCGCCGCGCGCGGATGCGCGGCGAGATATATATTTTCGCAAGGTTTGCGGGGTCAATGTGCTTCGAGGGGCCGATCAGGGCGGTGGAGGAGAGGGTAACTTGGGTTTCGCCGAGGGGGGTCAATGGGATCTCGCTCACGCCCGTATGCTGGCCAGTAAGGGTCCAGGCGGTTTCGCCATGGCGGGCGAGGAAGAGGCGGGGGGTTGGCATTGCGGATGGTATCGTGTGGTATCGGTGATGTGGTGACGGGTAGTCTAACCCGGAGGCCCAACAGGAGACAGATTGGTTACGTTTACAGTGTCATTTGAGAGGTTGTAGGTTGTGCTGGTGGGGGGGCAAGGGTTAGGGTTCAGGGGGGGTAAGATAATAGGATTGGAATACGGTACGGGTATTCGTTCATCAAGTTCATGTATCCGAGCACAGTAAAGTTACGGTGCAAGTACAGTACGTATGCACAGCACTCTATGATGCTGGGGAGAGGAAATACGAGTACAGTACCGGTAGTGTAGGAATTTCCACTGAAGACTGCAACGTTTACAACTCGCCAACAATTGATGCAGTGGGGATCAAATTTTCACCTATGTGTGAAACAATTCCTTAGGTTTTACTTTCCGACCTCCTAGAACTCTGTATCTCTAAGTTGAATTAAACCCGCTAAGGAATTTTGAAGAGCAATACCGGTAGCCGCTACACTGGCCCTGGCATCTTCTCAGGATTTTCTATGGGGAATGGACTGGGTTGGCATTACTTTAGGCATCAACTTTACAGTATTGCGGTCAGAGTAGCCAATAATACTTGAATAATCTGAGGGTTCCTGGGGAGATATTTGAGAGAATTCTGGGCCACACCGTCAATTCTTCAATTTTTTTTTGCAGCTTTTAAAATGCATCTTACTGAACGGAAAGCATGAAATATTTGGGCTAGCTTAAATTGGACTTCCTCTCTGCCGCCAGCCTAGTGCAGTTCCTTTCCTTTCCTTTCCAAGGATTTGGACAAATACCGGTTCTGTATGATAGCACCGCTACCCCGTGCAGTGGAAAGTCCGAGTGAAAAAGGCAACCTAAAAGATTCCTCAAAGAATTGTTGGCTATGTCGTGCTCAAGATCCGGCCCTCCCTATTGAACTTAATCATTCATATTAAAATCCCAGCCCTTTTCATCCTGCTAAATGTGCGTGAGACCGAGTATCATACCCAACAAGGGATGGGCTTGGGCCAGCCACGGGTTGGCGCCACCTGTGGCGGGTGGGGTTCCAACCGATCTCTGTACGAGTAGTCTACCGTATCATACTCGAGTATGCTGGGATACGGGGAAGCTGTCAGATCCTTTGAAAGTTACCGGTGGATGAGTCAAACCCCATGGTTTTCCGGTTTCTGGCCCCCAACGCCTTATACAAGTACCAAGGACACCGTCGATGCAAAATGCCCACTCATAGGCTTTTCTGCATGAGCATCCTCCATCTCGGAAGCGCAAGGCTCGAGATTATTGAATAACATCCCCTCCAGGCTGCAGTTTGTCTGCAGTTTAAGCACCCTTCTGCGCATCGCACGACCTCTCTACTCCACCACTCACTTCCATAAAGCGCCATGACTACCGCGCTCTTCCCAACAACCTACCCAACCGGCAAATTCATCCTCGCCGCCTCGACCTGTACCTACCACATCCCCACCTCCTCCATCGTGCTGGTACACAACCATCACTCCCCCTCGACCCCTCGCAACTCCTGGAGCTGGTTCCTCCCCCGTGGCCGCAAAGACATAAACGAATCCATCCATGCCGCCGCCATCCGCGAGACGTGCGAGGAATCCGGGTACACTCCCACGCTTCTCCCAACATCGCACAACACGCTCCAACCCGGCTCCGACGAAGAACACGTGGAAGCGTTCCACATGCAATTGATCCCGTACTTCAAGCGCACCGGGGTGCGCATGTACGTTGCGTTCTACTACCTGGCTACCATTGCGGAGGCGGTGCGTGCCGAGGATTACGGCAGTGGGTTCGATGGGAGGCATGAGGCTGGGTATGAGAGTGAGGTGGTGAAGATTGAGGAGGCGGTGGAGGTGCTAAGTGGGGGGAGGTATGTGCTTAGGGATGGGGAGGTGTATGACCTTGTCGAGGGGAGAATGGTGGGGGTGGACGGGGTTGCTGAAAAGTTCTTTGAAGTGGGTGTTGTGGTCAGAGGGTGGAGGGAGGTCCAGAGGCATCTCGCGAAGGCGGATGCCTCTCAGGGGGTGTAGCTGGGGAGGCCGGATTTAAAGATGGTATGAAGGGTTGGACTTTGACTTTTTTCACCATCACTTGGAGATATGCGGGGATATGACACTTGATGTGGTTGAAATCGGGGAGTTTTGATACCCGAGTATCCAATGTCAATAGTCCGGGCTAGTCACTTGCGATAATAAACATCCCCGAACATAATCTCGTGGGAGGTACCTGTATAGGTGGATCGTGGATAGTTGACTAAATATGGTGGACAGTCCCGAAAGGGCTCCACCCAGCACACTTCGCCCTTCAGCAAGAGGAAAATATTCCAGTCATATGATATCACCAAACTATATAATAGCTCCCAGCCGAAGTTCCTCCCAATTCATCATGAATTTGACCCCTTTCCCCCCCGCTGAGAGCAGGCTTCTAATTGACCACCGGAGAACCCATCGTGATCCACAACTGGCCTACATTCCCTCAGTCTGCTCGAGTATCCGTGCAGGCAAATGCAGTACCTCGGAGCTGCAGGCCATAACCTCTCAGAGCACAGTGTATCCTCGGCATTCGGCGCACACCACGAACCGCATGCCGCAGATCGCGTACGGCCACTCGCGGAGAAAACAATAACTGTGTTGCGGGTTAAGTGTGCGAAGCGAGATATCGAGGGGAGAGAGGGTAGGGAGTGTGGTTTTTCTATGTCCTACCCTCGTTATATGTGCCATAGGCAACCGTACTTATACCCACGGAAGGCCGTGCATATACTGTGATATGAGTCCCCGATGTTCCAAGCTGAGCGTTCTTTCATCACGCTGAAGCAACACTTTGGACAGATTACGGTTCCGGGATGCTCAAAGCGGTTCCGGGGGGGGGATGCCTGAGTGGGTGAGCCCATCGACTGGAAGGGTTCGGGTCGCAAAGATTTATCGACGGATCCCCAAGGGCCGGAGTCGGACCGGATGTGCTTCGTGTGCTCCGGATAATGCGCTCCAGTATGGTGGAGGGACTCTCGTTGGAAAAATGGATGATCGGGGTGGAGTGATCCGAAAGGGATGACCGGTGTCGTCGAGCTCGAGAAGACGGGCGACTCGTAGAGATCGTAAGAATATCCGATAACCCCACGAAGCGACCGAGCTTTGTGACGACAAACCTCCTCAAACGCCCTGTCATATCCCCCGGGTCCATATCATCGCATTATCATACATCCCATGATCAGCATCACCCGACGAGTACGGTGTCCCATCAACCTCCGCGTGCACGGAAAGAGTATCTCTCCCCGAAATCCGGAACCTCCTCGGTTAAACTGCTGCCCATTACATGCACAAGCCTTCCCTTGCGGGAAAAGTCGCACAAACCCAATGCATTTCCCCGCGTTGCGGGGTCGTGGGGGCCCCCCATCGCCCTACTACAAGTAACTTACCAACTCCCACACGTAAATTCCAGCATAACCAGCAATTCGCAATGGCAACAATCTACCGCCCAAACGACGCTTCGCTTTCACCGCTATCCTCAAAGACGATATTGTTCGCGGGATACGGAAACCAAGCGCGCTCCCAGGCGCTCAATCTCCGCGATACGTTCGCCTCGAGCCCCGACGTTTCCCCTCCTAGGATACTGATCGCTAATCGTGCGGATTCGTATCACGAGACTGCGATCGCAGATGGGTTTTCCGTGACTGGATTCGCGGAGGGGGCGAAGGAGGCGGATGTGGTGTTCTTGCTAGTGCCGGATCAGGTTGCACCCGCACTGTACAATTCTGAGATAGGGCCCAACTTGAGGGCGGGTGCGTTGGTCGTGGTAGCCAGTGGGTTCAACGTGTTTTACAAGAGGTTGGAGATTCAGGATATTGATGTCGGCATGGTCGCGCCGAGGATGATTGGTGCGGGGGTTAGGAGCAGGTTTCTGGAGGGGGGAGGATTTCCGTGCTTTGTTTCTGTTGAGAATGTTTGTGTTTCCTTCCTTCTTGCACATAGCTTTGAAACGGTGGGGCTGATGGAGGGGATGGTATAGAATTCTAGTGGAAGGGCGCTGGAGATGGTCCTGTCCCTCGCTTTGGGCATAGGGGGACTAACGGCCGGTGCTGTCGAGTGTTCCGCTCGCGACGAGACGCTCATGGACCTATTCGCCGAGCAAGCAATCTGGCCGAGTATTATCGTCGCGTTTAGAGAGGCGTATTCAACTGTTCTCCTCCACCCCCCTCCACCTTCACCTCCGGCTTCTGCTGATCATCATAGTTGAAAAAACTCGGCTGCTCGGACGAAGCCCTCGTTCACGAATTGTGGCTGAGCAAAGAGCCCGCAGAGGTATTCGATAAATGTGCGGAAGACGGCTTCACCTCGCAACTAAAATACCACAGCACCGTCAGCCAGTACGGCCAACTCAGCACCAGTCTGGGCATGGATGTCACCAAACTGCAAGAATTCTTCAAGAAGGTTGCTGGTAGGTTGAGCGCCAGACCGGCAGTGGGCCGACTTTTGGCGGCGGTGGCTTACGGGTACTGGCATTAATTTAGAAAAGCGAATTCTGGGCGGTGAGTTTACGAAGGAGTTTACCGACATTGACAACGAGGGGGGCGGAAACGGGTTCGTTTTTGCTTCTTTCCCTTCCACGCGCGATGTTATATTTTGGCCAAAAGCACGCTTCTAACAAATTTTCGTCACGAATAGGATAGAGAAAAAGCTCGAAGAGTTGTACGCCGCAGCGTCGACGTCGGAGTTGGCGGCGGGCGAGAAAAGGGTCAGGGAGAGAATGGGATTGGACAAGGTTTGATTACCGGTAAACCTTGATCTTGGCCGTCAGGCCGAGTTAATTCCCGAGCAAATTTCATGAGTCAACAAATTCAATGCCATCCATCCATACCCTCTGACCGCCATCGCGCGAATACTCGAGTGACGCTGTGGTAAAGTGACTCGTGATAACCTTCCGATCATGGATAGTTTAAATTTGACCATGCAATGCAACGCACCGTGCCCGAGAATGGGTACTCGAGTACTCGAGTACTCGGACCAGCATGATATCGTGCAACCGTGGCACAGCCCCAGTTCGCTGTACCGATGCTGTAACCGGACGGCAACACAACCTCGTCCCACAATAACCCCCGAGTGATCACCCATGCTAGAAATCGGATCATCATTCCAGGCAGTTTGACCCATAAAAGGCGTGCTGCAGCCAGCAGCGATGCATCACATGGGGAACACCAGGGTACAGAGCTACACTGCCATCGACGACAGGGATCGACTTGGTAATCGATAGGGTTCTCCAGGACCGGTGCAAACCTTGACTCGACACGCCGAGACATCGACACACACCGTCGAATGCATCGTCTTTCTGCGCTGGGAGAACTGTCGTGCAATTATGAGTAATATCCTGGCTATTGAGATGTGTCGAGGTGGCTCTTCGGCCCCCTCTGGTCACTGGCGGTGAAGGTGATTGTTTATTGGATTCTTGTGGGTACAGTACGGGTGCGCTGGAGTGCCTGAATACCGGTACCGGTGCTCATTTTGCAACTGAAAGAGTTGCGAAAATAAGAGGGACCCTCGACAAGTGATCGAGCTATCATACTACTTGAGTACCGTAGTCCATCACTATGCTAGGATCTCTTCCACATTCCACACTTCCGTACACTTACAGTACAAGTACTACTCTAGTATCACTCCTTTGTTTCAGCGTCGCAGACACAATGTCTTGGTGTGGGCAGGGTCCGGGCTTGCCCAATCCTGGTACTTGTACTCGAGTATCATGCTCGAGTGCAACATTGAAGGCAATGCGGAGGCACCGCATACCGTACTGTGGTTCCTGTCAACCCCTGCCATTTGCAGTCTGGAGTTTTGGTATCTCCCAAGAACCATAAAGGACGAATCCGGTCCCCACAAGCGAATAACCTTAATACACGGCACATTCCGCGAGTGTGAACTCGAGCATCATTGGTCGAGAAAAAGAGGGAAAGGGTTTGATCTCAGCCCCCATTGCTTTTTCTTTTGGGTTTTCTCTTCCTTTGTGCAACTGTTTTCCCTTGCTTGATGGTGCGACATGTGCATTTGAGCGTTTTGCGGTTGTGTTTCTGTTTTGTCCTATTTTAGATCTTGTGTGACTGGTGCTGGATTCAGAATGGTACTATTGGTATCGTGGGTATATCTCTCCTTATTTCTCCCCTCAACCCCCTACGCTTCAAGTCTTCCGACCCTTTTTCAATTCCGGAGAGGGAGAGTGTGTCTGTTTAGTCCGCTTTAACGAACGATCGTTCAATAGTTGGGAGTTTTTTTTTTTTGGAAATTTTTTCTTTCTTTAAACTACGGCACGCTCCTTACCGTGATACTCTACATTCATCATGTTCCTCTCACGATCCTCCATCCTTGTCTTGTTTGCCCTCGTCGCCTCCCTCACAACCATCAACGCGCAGCGAATCCATGCGAAACGCCTCCTGTTTCCCCGCCAGAACAGCTCGTTCGGTGGATGGGGTCTGAAGATGGTCAACTGCCCCGGGGAAACCCAGAAATGCGGTACCAATTACGGGTGCTGTCCGAAGGATACGATCTGCATTACGGGTAGTCTTGCCGGGGCGCTGGCTTGCTGTCCTACGAGTATTTCACCCGAGCTCCCTCACTCTCTCCTTCGGACTCGGGGAAGGAAGAGTGGGTAAGTCTATCGTTGACTAACGTGAGCATAGAGGAATCCTGCGGCGAGGTGATCAAGACAATCCCCGTCTGCGCGGACCCTAGCTGGACGCTCTGGCAGAACGATGGCCAAAATCCATTCTGTTGCCTGTCTGGCCAGTTCGGATATCAGACGGCTGGGATGGATTCCAGTTGTGCGGAGCCTGATCTGCCGGTTCCGTCGAGTTTGTTAGCCACGAGTGTTTGCCCCCCCCCCCTCCCTTCGCAGCCCCTCTTGGGAAAACCGGATCCTGACATACCGCAAACAAAATAGGTGGTCCCCGCTCATGGCGCCTCAGCAACCGGTAGACCCCGCGCATCCAAGACTGGCACCTCAACACGAGCCCGCTCAGCGACTGCGACCTCGGGCTCCTCGGGAGGCGATTCCGCCGGCGCTGCCGAGGAGGCCACCGATGGAGGCTCTTCTGCGTCAGCGGGCTCGACTAATACCGCCAAGTCCGGACTATCGACCGGAGCGATTGCGGGAATCGGTGTGGCCGCAGGAATTATTGGAATCGCGTTAATCGGTGGAGGTGTTTGGTGGGGCTTCAAGAAGGGGCAGCAGAAGGGTCGGGAGGGTCAGGTCGTTGTCGAGAACTATGTGCCCGCGCCGGAGTATACTGCTGATGGGCGTGGTGGTGGCGATGCGACTCGGAGCGCGGAGGGGGTTATGGGTGCCGGTGTACGTGATAAGCCCGTCGAGACGACGCATGCTCCGGTGGTGCATAGCGCGGGTAGGAGGGGGGCGGAGATGCAGGGTTGATTTTGACCTTTTAGCTTCTATTCTCTCTTTGGTCCTTACTTGGCTATTTATTGGGCTTATCTTGGGTGGCAAGTGGAGGGGATGGATCATGCAAGTAGAGAGGGTTGAGCGAGTAATTCTTGATGACTACACATATTATAAATCTATCATTACCGGCGCAGAGATATTGGAAGCATGATAGCGGGTGTAGGAATGTCCCTGCCCAGGTACATATCACAGCTAAACACGGAGAAGCAGCAAACACAGCAAAACAACAAGCATGGCAACATTCCTCCAGGCCTCCCTATGGTCCAATCCGCAATCAAGCCCAAACATCAATCCGCCCGAAAGAGAATCGTAATAAACCCTTACTAATCCATCAAGATACCTTCCTTGCAAGACCCAACCACCCACCCACCCGTAGCACACAGCGTGCCCGCAGCATACCACACCCTCCCCCAGCGCCCGCATTATCAGGAGCAATTACAGCGCTCGCGTTATCTACACAACCTACCTACCCGACTAGAAACTTTTCATGCACAGTAGCAGAGAATAGTACCCAGATTGAATTACCACCTGCTAAAATGCTGCATTGCATCTTAGTGCCTGGCGGGACGGCCTTTCAGGTGGTGATCTCGTTGGCGTTCGGACAGGGTGGATGGGCGAGGTTGTTTACTGTCTGGAAATTCCGGGTGCTGGGTGGTGATTGCATCTTGGAGTGGGGGTCCTAGTTTAGCCGTTAATTTAGATTTCGTCGGGATGCTTATAGTACTGAGGATGCTGCATGCTGGTGAATCACGGAATGGCTGATATGCCGGCCATCTGCGAGCGAGCGGGATTTGGGTGGCTGATAGATGTGGTGGATGTCCGGCTGCCAAGCACCATATCACCACTCTAATCTGCTGTGAGAAATTTCATGCATACTCCTTGGCAGAGTGGGACTTCTTGCACTCCGGGTTCCTTAGGGAATAGTTTCTGGGTAATTATTTCTGACACTTGACTCTTCCTTCCGTCTACCTAGCTATACTTATTATCCCCGCTTCGGGTTAGTGCTTTGTATAATAGCTTATTGTGAACCCCGGCGGGTGCGCCCCTCCTCCTCTGGTATCCATATATCGACATCGTCTTGTCGTGGTATAGATATTCCGGGCCTCACTTCCACCCAGCTCAGATTACCGGCCATGTCTGCGCTGCGTGCTCTAGTGATAGTCCGAAACGCTAGTAATGGGCCATTGGTCAGGTACGGTAATCGTTCCATGGAGGGGAAGTCCGCAACCAAGGAGAAACGCTAGCGTTTGATGCTATCCGGGTGTAGTGAAAATGGTTTTCACCGATACAGTAGTCCTGGGATGATAGGGCGGGAAAGGGCCCGCCTTTGAGGGTTCAGATGCTGTTCCTGATTTTTCTTCCTACCATGCCTCCATCACCGCTGCCATACGGAAGAATCCTGAGACACTTTTTGATCCCTCCGCATATCGCGGAACTAGCCGCAGCGGTTGCCTTTCTAGGCACCGTATTGATTCTGTGTGAAGTGCGTCCGCGCCCGGCCATTTCACAAAGGCCTGACTCACCTTACTCGGGTAGGAGGAGATGCACAATTTGCTTCGCGCTGGTCGTTCAAGTGGTGGCGGCCTTTGGCCTCGGTGCGGTGGGTGGGTACACTGCTTAGCTCCAACCAGACATTCATTATTGTGAATAGGTATAGTAGGGCTGGGCCCTGTATTATACGTTGTTATCGGCTGGAGCGTGATTGGGGATACTAGTGCATAAGAAGAAATAGAAGATTACTGTTAGCGGTGTCGGACTAAGAGTGATTATCGATGGTGGGCCATCACCATTAATAGAGGCTCACGTTTCGGGGGGTTACAGCTGGTATGGAAATAGGTTTGGTTGATCTTATTGCATCCCCTTATAGCCCGGTATTCCTTTATTTACCATTTCCACATGAGTTGGGTCCACATTTCCCTTTCGCCCTTGGGGGAAATTTTATCACTACCTAGTGTTATGTGCCCCCCCTTCCCCGCATACGGAGATATTTCTTAAGTATTGTAGTAGATTGTCCGGCACTTTTGTTCTCTCCTCTCTCTATTCGGTTTCTTCTGGTCGCGTATGTCTGCCTTTGCGCTCACCCCATGGGGCGGTAGGTTCACGGGATATTGGATTCGCGAGTATAGCTCTTAACCATAAGGCCCACCGGCTCGGTTCCTGTGTCGGTCGTTCGGGGTGTGAAGGATGTGGTGATGTTGGGTATCTTGACTGTGGTACTTTAAATTACATTGTGTGTTATGATATCTCTTATAGCGCTAGTAACTGTTATTAATTGAGCGGGGCTGCCGCTCTTCGGGTGTCGTCGTTACCGCCGCACATTACGTGATACCTGCGCAGCGAGCAGCAATGCGCAACAGCTCGTACATGTGGCGGAGGCAATGGCAGTACTGGTAGACGGACATAGATTGTTCTATATACTTATGCAGTACGAACACTTGGTGAGCGACAGGAAGGGAAATAGAGCGAATGAAAAGGAAATCCATAGGTTAGACCTCTCTCGCACAACCGATAAATCTGCCTTCCTCGCGTTCGTACGAGACTGCCTTTTAAACCTTCTTTGTTGTAAAACCTAGAATGAATATCGACAAGTAATAGAGGAATAATAGATAGATGAAATATTGCTTGTTCTTGGTAATACCTGTGACACACCACCTCTGTATAATACAGTAACTCCATAGTCTGGTTGTCCGTATTCAGGACACCACCAACCTCCAAACACCAGCACCTTACTAGTCCCCTGACTTAAGGGTTAAGTATCTCCCAGCTTCACGCTAAATGTCCCCTAGCTTAACACTAGTTTCATATCCACGTATCCTGACACATATCCAACATTCTTAGAAAACGAGTACCCGAGTGATGATCTGTGAGTGGTCTCATTTCGCCCAAGCGTTTCTAACCGGGTAGGGTGGATGTGGAGTACCGACCACGCCGTCTTTGATGGGAGCGCAACGGCAATCAGAGGGGGCGGGGTTTGGCGGGCAGAAAGAGAATTTGTCGAATCAGGTCAAATACCTTTTCATTGTTCCTGCTCATCACCTACCGGTTTTCGTCATCCCCCCCCCGCTTTGAAGACTATTACCGGTACTGTCGCCCGCCTACTTTCTTCTGAACCACTTTAAAACACCCTTAGCCTTCCCTTCCCTCTCCTTCTCTTTCTCCATCCTTCCACTATCCTCTCCGAAGAAACCTTTCACACTTCCATCCCGCTTGTCGTTTAAACCTCTACGGTCAATCGCAATGCCAGGCCCCCCAACTGCCAATACCCTCCCCTCCTCGCCAAACGCCCAGCTACCCCTCCTAACCCCCATGTTCCTGACACGAGCCTTGCGATCACAAACTCGAAACAAAATCCCGGCGGGAACACTTCCCAGCTTTCCCACGATCCCTTCGCATGCCTCCAGGCCTCGATTAACCATCTCCGGCCAGAGCACAAACTTCATTCCAACCTGCTCGTAATCTACCGCCTCACCACACATGATATTGCGGCAGCTCTGGTATGCTTTCCGGGCAGCGCCGAGGTCGCCAAAGTGGAGGAACAGCGCCCCGAGTTGGTATTGTGCGACGGCAAGGTAGGGATCGATCGACGTGGCTGTGCGCAGGGACGAGAGGGCTTCCCGCGGAGAAGAGAGAAGTAAGTGGATTGCGGCAAGGTTGAAGTGGATTATTGCGCGGGGGTGCGGGAAGAGAGCCAGGTGTTCATTGAAGAGGTTTTGGGATGTTATGAGGTCGTAGGTGTCGAAGTTGGATTCGGCGAGGACGAGAAGGTTGAGAGAGGAGCGGATTGGTGTGGGCTGAGGGGGAGGCGGAGGTGGAGGTGGAGGAGCGGTGGAATTTGAGACGAGGTGAGGGTGTTTAATGGCTGCGATTTGATTCTGATCCATATAATGCTTTCTTGGCGATAGGGAGGGCGGGTCTGTGTGGTAAGGGGGGAGCTTTTCTTTCCGGGTGCGGAGTTTTAGGGCGGTTTGATGGAGGTCTCGGTGCCTACATTTTGGGAGTGACGTATCATATCATATCATACTCAAGCTGCACATACTATGGAAAATTTCTATTGGGGTTACCCACTCCTCCAAGCCTATATCGCCCTAGAGCCTACAACCCCCAATAATCCCGAACCAAATAGGCGCAATAACCCGCCATTCCAGCCAGAATTCCTTGGGAAGCCAAGAATCCTGCGGTACGACCTCCCCCCTGGGTTCCTTTCCTCATCAACCCAAACTCGCTATCAGACAATCAGTCCCCCGCTTTCGTCGTTACTATGCCCACCCTTACAGCTATGGGAGGACTCACATCTGCGCCACCTTTCCCATAAACAATGCTCCAAGTGCATAATTCACCAACCTCCTGTTCCCCCCATTCAACTCTGCAATCGCGGCAAGAGCCATGGCCATCGGCGCTGTCTTCAGGTAGTTCCCCAAACACCACCTAGCCAAGGACAAGGGGTCACCGTTCTGCGGACCCTCGTCGCAGGACATCTCGGTCTTTCCAAACTCTGTCTTTCCCAGTTCGGTTTTATTTTTCGCGCCGAGATCGTTTTGGCTTACGGCAACGTGGTCGCCATTGTAAGTTTTTGTGCGGCGACGGACCAGTGCGACTCGCGTGGAGAGGAGGAGCAGGTACGCACCGAGTGGAAGGGTCCATGTGGCGGTCGCGGCTGGTGATGTCTGCTTTAGCTTTTGCTCGGTGGGGTGGAGAGTATGGGGAAGGGGAGGCTACGGGTGAGTAAAAAACGAGCAGGCACCAGGCCAACTGTGTGAACATGAGATGCCATTGGGGACCGAGACGGGCGGGGAGGGGATGGACGAACGAGGGGAGGAGATTCCAAGGAGTTGGGCGGATATATATGTGGTTTTCACATACTAGTTTCCGTAGAAATGACGTTGAGCGCGGAGGAGAATTGACATTGTCTCATGATTACCGGTGATGGACAAGGGTGGCTGTTTTTCTCCCAGAAGTGGCTAGTGTCCTTAACGCTGATTGTATGATACTCGTACTCGAGTAACATAGGCAGGGGCTCAACGAACAAGGGGGTTTAGTCAACAATAGACTGCACTACCGTAAAAAGGCCGTGGCGAACGGTGGTTTTGTTTGGTGTGTTCGTTGAGCCCCCGTCCATGTTACTTGTGTTGTTACTTTCAGAATGTTCAGATGCTTGAGTGGTTTGAGAATTAGAATAATATTGATATTGGCTAGCCGCTCGTGTGCCCACAAGTGAAGCGTCGCACCTGCTCGGAAGGCTATTGCGGAAATGTCACCAGTAGAGTAGAGTAGAGGAGAGGAGAGGAGAAGCTCCGGCCGGAACGCCCTGTTGAGGCCAGGATCTAAGTTTGCAGCAGCGCGCGTTGGGCTCGGAATTATAGAGTATAGTGGCGGGTGGAGGTAGAGCTTGATATTGATGAACTTGAAACTTCGCGCATTAAGATCTGGACAGGATGGTTCATTGTGAGGATAGTGAACGTCGTAGAAAGGTAGACTACTCGATAGGGTGCCGAGAATGATATGGTAGCGAGAACTCCTAATTACATGGGTGATCCAGAATGAAACCAGAATGGAAAAGATGGAAAAAATCAGGTACGAAGGATGTAATTAATCACGTAACTGGTGGATGGCAGACATAAATATTAGAAGCACATCAGGAGTGCTTCTGTTACAGTGACGAACCTAAGATTTGGACACCATATTCCAATTCAGCTCTGTGTACGAGGCTGGCGACAAAAATCACCGGTAGCAACCACAAATCGAACGAACGAACGATCAACTATTTCAACACAACAACAATTGCTCAACAAGAGAAGCAGTAGGAAAATTTAAAAAAATGAAGCATATTAGAGAAGATGAATAGGAATAAAATAAAAGCATTAAAACTCCGTTTGCATCCCTTTCCGTTCCTTGACCTGCATGAGCCTTACAGGCATACTATCTATGTACCGGTTCCATGCAGATGGCTGTAAATGATCCCACTCTTCCTGAACAGCCTTTCTCAAATCATGGATATTTTGAGGAAAGGTATCCCGTGCCTTGATCCTCTGCTTGAGGATCCGCCAAACATTCTCGATGGGATTGAGGTCGGGTGAAGCGGGTGGTCGATGGTGAAGCGGAATACCAAGAGTGTTTTTGGTCTCTCTCAACATCCCACTTGTTCCATGGATCGGGGCTTGGTCTTCGATATACTGACCCTCCATAGAAGCCTCATACTCTAGGAGATTCATGAAAGCCGGAGCAACAACAGGTTCCAGGACCTGGTGTAAATAGTCTTTAGCAATCACTCCCTTTGGACCTGTACCCTCAAGGAAGATGAGAGGAGACTTCCAGTCATAACTGATAGCCCCCCATACCATAAAGGATCCTCGCCCACTATGGAAACTGTGCTGCATGCAGTGATCATGGTAGCGCTCAGTTGAAAGTCGAGTTACCCAAACGCTCCCTCTCTGAGACATGTCAAAAATGCATTCGTCAGAAAACATATGTTTTCGCCACCACTCAACTGACTTATGCATATGTTCATCGGCATAATCTTTACGCTTCAGCTGATTCTTCCGATTGATAAAGGGCTTTTTACAAGCCTTGCAGCGAGAGTAACCCTTCTCTTGCAAAGCTCGCTTGATGGTAGTCGCAGAGGCACTTAACCCCACCTCCTGTCCTAACTTGCGCCAGCAGAGTCGTCGCCCCTCCCAGCTGGTTCGAAGACGAAAGATTAGGCATCGGATATCACGCTCAGAAAGACAGTGGGGGCGTCCTGGACGGTGGTGTTGGCGGCGAGGCTGCTTTGACTTCAAGTTCTTCCAATCGCTTATCATTTGTTGTGGAACTCCAGTCTCTCGGGAAATTTGAGAATGGGATAATCCAGTGTCCATTAAAGTAAGAACTCGGGTTCGCATTGGGGTATGCCATTCACCCCAAGGATCGTTTCGTGGTGGGGTAGTCGTCATTTTCATCGGTGGAGGAGTGATGCTATTGTGGTTGCGATGCGAGATTTCTACCCGTGATTTTTGTCGCCAGCCTCGTACTGTACTCGAGTAGCAACCAATCCTAACATTTCTGCAAAAGCTTCTGAGGAGGTTTCTGGTATCATACAAGGTAGGGTAATGAGGTCCTCTTGGGTAGGGTAATACAAGCCCCAGAACAAGATAACTTTACCTAGTTACCCTACCTATTCCCGCAGTGAGATAGGCCATGCTATGTTTTCTGTTACCCTATATGACGGAGTAACTGTAACCCTTCTGAGGCTCTATGTATGTATGATATTGCCTGTTACTAACCAAGTACCTGTTTGCCCATATTATACCACCTCCTATAAGATATTAGACCAGGCTTGTTCAACTTATTCCAATTAGGTAATAAATTTCTTATATCTTTGATTTTATCTCAGGCTCTTCATACTTTTATCTTAGAAACAAAATACCATAAATAAATTACCAGTTGAAAGCACTTTTCATACTATTGGTAGTGTGTAACTGATTTCATTCAGAACTGGCTTAGATAATGTCTGTCAAGCAATAACTATTTTCTCTCTGGTCATATGTAGATTGTAACAATAATCCTATCAAGCAACTTATTTTTTATCAGAAAAAATAGGATTTAATTAATAGAAGATCTATAAATACCGCAGGGAGTTGAACTGGTATTCTGTAATTTGAAAATGTTATCTCACTTGATAACTTCCCTATATCCATACTACATAGGGTGTTATGTTTTAAAATGCTTTTGGTACATACTTTAGATACCTTGTACCATACCTAAGTACTTGAAGTTAGTAGTGGAACATGGACCACCAGGTATCTAATAGATGTGTCTTACCACATACCCACCTGTCTCTACCCAGAAACCTGATGGTCCCTTATACGGGTGCAGATTCAGGTTGCCATACCCCATGTATATAGGATTGTTGCATCCCGAAACCCTTAACACGACTCACCTTCTTCTGGGGCCAGCACCGTATAGGGATGTCGTCCGAGACAGATACGAGAAGATATTGGTGACTGCGCATGGATCTCACTGGAATTGGTGTCAGATCATATAAATTTGGCTCAGTTCAGGTTTATGAGGAAGAGCATGACCGATCCCTTGCCATAGTTCACTTTCTTCCACTACGAGATAATGGTAAACGTTTTTTTTGTATGTCATTATTCAATTCACCACCTGCGCCGTTACTGTACTGTACGAGTCCTTCTCGGCAACAGTATAGCGTCGCCAAGTGTGCCAGTATTCCCGATGCAGCTGCCTCCAGGCGTCAGAGGCACCCGTGGGTGCATAGATTTAGCAATGATATCATAATTTCACTACTCACCAGAATAGAGGGTCCCCCCCCCGGCCTTCGCTTACCCACAAATGCCGTATTGCTCCACCACATTTCGCAAACGAGAACCACCATGCCTGGAAGTCAGCGATGCGATACTAGTTTTGGTCACCCGTCATGGCTATATAATTATCGCTTCCCCGGAAATATAGCACCCTAAGTGATCATTTCTTCAACAGCTGCACGAGTAGTGCACACTGCCGGTAGAGTATTGTACCCGAGCATGGTAGGTGAATTACCGGATACTAACTTATCATCACTTCCCTCTGTGTCCCACCCCCCATTCCTAGCCAGTTGTTCATTAATGCCTTTTCACGAATGAGGGAAGCTGGTATTGACAAGGGCCGGGGAAACAGAATCGGAAACACTTGAAAAACAGCGCCAGAATCAAGCAGTCGTTGGCGAGTCTTTTGTTTTATTCGGGGAGTTGTCACTGGTATGTATCACAAGCCTTCCAACGGGCGAGACTTCACGAGGTTGGATCTGGCCCGGAGGAGTGGCCGAGCAAACGAGACTGACAGTACGAGTAGATTTTCTATTAGGAGAAGGCGTATTTGATGGGGCGTAAACTAGGATGGCTTCTAGGAGAGCCTAGAGGGAATATATCCCGAGCCTGGGGAAATCTTTAGTGTTCCACACGAGCCCATTCGAGTCGAGCCAGGCCACTGGCTCGAGCCGGCTCGGCTTGATAGGGAATGCACTCGAGCTGCTCGAGATTTGATATAGGGTTCGAGCCTCGCAAAGTAGGCTCGGGGACTAAGGCTCGGGCTTTGCTTTGTTAGTGGTCACGTAGTATCACTCGCTAAAACGACCTACAAGGGGATCAGTATAGTGAATGTGAGCAGAGGATATGTTCCAAATATTAAGTGTGAAAACAAATCTCCAAATTCTGCTGCGAACATATCAGTTTTCCACTTAGCCAGCCCCCTAATTTGTGCAAGTCAATCTAGGACTGTGGACTTATGGAAAGTCTAACTGACTTGCCCTACCTAGGACTCCTCATTGCCATCTAATATACTCCCCGACACCCAGTCTCTCATGAGTCCAGCCAAGTTTGAGAGTAAAGTGGGATCTGTACTGGGCTCCTCGGTCCGAGTAAGGCCCACAAAGGTATGTGCAAACCGCTTTCGAGACATAGGAAAATTCAATGTCGTTAAATTTCTTCCTCTCCTGCATACTAGTACCTCCACGACATATACAAGGTAATCTTAGAGATACTAGTCTCCCTGTACCTTACCGATTTGAAATGTAAAATAAATCATTCGAACAAGCTTCAGCTTTGCTCGAGTACTGCTCGAGCCAAAGTTTAGATGAGCTCGAGCCGAGCCTCTCCTGGAGAACACTAGGAGCACCATGTAGTGGGGAAGGGGCAATAAGCTAAAGTGCTGGGATATGAGGTTTGTGCTGATAACAAGGCTGGGGGGGATGTTACCGGTAGCTTTATAAGCAAGTAATAGTTGGAGAGATGCTCGAGTGATGTGCCTACCATACATTTCGTGAATATACTGAGGGAAATTGCCTATGCGTTTTTGTTCGCAATGCGGGCTTCCGCAGGGCCCCGCCACCCGACCCTTAGCTATCCCATAGGGAGCCAGGCAGGTTCTAGCGAAAAGCCAGGAGGGGCGGGACTGGTGCTGTCATAACCGGTTAGAAATGGGTGCCCGAAGGTGGCAACGCCGGAGCCATGCCCCTTGTACTCGAGTACCGGTAAATTATATCTCCACATCGGGGTATGGAAACACCGAGTTCCGACGCCATGAAAAATAAGAACCAAAGTAACTGATGGCACTATACATGGTACCGTATCATAGAAAAAATAATTATAAGGTTCAAAAAAAAAGAAAGAAAGAAAGAAAGAAAAGAATCTTCACAGGTGTCTGCGTTTGATCTGCCAAACACCCCACGGAGCGTCCATCGGCGCATACAAACACAGTGTCAGACACCGAGAAGGTCTGGTTACCGTAACGTCAGCGCTCCCATCATACTTCCAATTCTGTGGTCCATCGTGCTTGGCCCACGCTTGCCAGCGTAAGGTAAAGTGCAAGCATCACAGGGCACGCCGGCTGCCTGAAAAAATCGGGCCCGATATCATCCCAGACACGCCCTCAACGTGCACTGCACCTAGGTGGCAAGTAAAGACTCGCAATTTCACAGTTGTCCCTTACCAAGATCCACTAGTCTACTCCCGTGATCCAACATGAGTGATAGTTCATGACGTGGCAGAGGTATAATATACTTCTATGCTCTACTTGTGCTATGATATAACCAAAAAAAGAATATGGGGGAAAAAATTGTACAGTTGGAAAGGTGAGTTAAATTGAAAAGATAAAAGGGAAGCCCTAAACCAAACGCATCGCTTGCTCGAACTATCCAAGCTCTTGAACCCCATCTATGGCAAAGCGATGAAAATGAAAATGCAGTGATGATCAGACTCCCCCATTCCGTATCCTACTCAGGTTGGGGTCGTAAGCATCTCTTGGGCCCTCTATGTGCACCAAGCTATTTAGTAGTTGCAGCAGTCATACCGGGGATTCAGAATGCGTACCGTGTCTTGAAAACGCCTTCTCGTCAACTCCCCACCGACCCACGATACCGCCCTCCACTTCTCTCCTCGTCACCCTAACTCTCTTTTCCGGCAGGCCCATACTAACCAAAAATTCGACGGTCTCTTTCCACTCTTTACCCTTCCGCTCTTTGCTCCACTTCAACTCCTCAGACATAATATCGATAACTCCAGGTAGGGCCTCAAGGGCTGCCTGCACATTCAGGAATGCAAGACGAGTTCTGCGTGCGATAACGTCGACCGCCGTCTGCGCATACTCATGGCGAACAGCATACCTTACCTCCCCGTCAATGAACGGATAAAGGGCGGACAAGCGTTTACCACGGACAGGGAATCGCTGCTCTGTTGGGGCGGAGAGTGAAGCGACGGCCCATGCGCGATCTCCATAAGCACCAGCAAGATGCTGGGCAACCTCGGTTTCCACACCAAAGTGTTGAATGAGATTAATGAACAGCGTCTTGCTGTAACAATGAGCTCCGATCAATTTCAATCGATCCGTTTTGCAGCTACCATCAATGGCACCTGCGCTATCCCACTCTAGTATGGTTGGCACGTGATCGGGGCGGGCCACTGGGCCCGTTTTGAGATTGAACTGTTTCACAGCTTCGTCGACAGCCTCTTCGGCCATTTGACGATAAGTGGTCCATTTCCCCCCCGCGATTGTGATGAGCCCACTATCCGAGACATTAATGAGATGGTTCCGTACCAACGACTCGGTGTTTTTGGCGTCGGGGTCTTTGACGAGCGGACGAATTCCGGACCAGGCCGCGAGGACATCCCCACGGCGCACGTTAATATCCGGGGCCAGGTAGCGCCGGATCTCGTTAAGGATCCAGTTGATCTCCTCCTCTCGTGGGAGGGGGTGGGGTGTAATCGCGGTTGGAGCGTCAGTGGTGCCAGCGATAGTGTTGCCCTGCCACGGGAGAAAGAATATTACACGACCATCAGAGGTATTGGGATCGATCAAACCCTGAATTCTCGTTTAGCTGGGAGCTGATATTGTCTATGGAGTCACAATCTTGCCATTCGAGCAGGTGAGTAGTACCCCGGGAGGACGATGTGCACACCACTACTCGGTGCAACGATTTCTTGTGTTGTTTCGCCTTGATCAAGTTTGCGAATACTGTCGGTGAAAGGGCCGGTAGCATTGATCACACCCTATGGAAACTCAGCCTCTTAAGCCTCCTAAGTTGCAATCGATCGAGACATGTTTCCGTGCATACCTTAGCCTTTACCACAAACTCGCTCTCTCCAGCGCCCCCTCCTCTGCCCAGCCTCCCACCCCCCGATTGGTGTACAAGGTCGCGGACTTTAACACCGGTAACCTTACCCGTAGCCGGATCTTTGATCAATCCGTTCACCTCCACGTGATTGGCAATTGCCGCACCGTAAAGTGCTGCTGTAAGCGCAATGGATACATTCATACGGGAGTCGTTGTGGGATCCGTCTACTCCAATGAGCCCTCAATCAACCGGACCGGGGGAGAACCACGAACCGTAGTACACCAGAGCGCCAGCCAGTCCATTCCCTTTCAACATCGGGAACGCCTCCAAAGCTTTACCTCTGGTCAAAAAGTATGAACTCTCTAAATTTTCTTTCCCAGCCAGGAAGTCGTAAACTTTGGTTCCCACCCAGTAATACGGAGCTTTCCACCATTCATAAACCGGTAACATGATAGGTAAACTCATGCTCAAATGAGGGGCTGTGGTCAAGAACACGGCACGTTCCCTGAGGGCTTCCTTGACAAGCTGATACTGGCTGTAATCCAATTCCTTTAAAGCTTTCTCAAGATAGCGTACACCCCCGTGCACAAGCTTAGTGCTCTTGCTACTCGTTCCCGAAGAAAAATCATCGCGCTCCACCATTGCCACCTTCAGGCCACGACTGGCAGCATCCAGGGCAATTCCACTACCGGTTGCACCACCCCCAATGACCAACAAATCGTACTCATTTCCCTCCGTCCCGGCTCGCAGTCGATTAATCTGCTCCTCTCTATTTGGTAGAAGTGGAAACTTTGGCGGTGCTGAGAAACCACCCATCGCGTTTAGAGCTCCGACCGTAGAAGGGTCGTCACCATCTTTGTTGACGGAGTACGCATGCGAGGTGGGCCGAGGTGAGTATGACCTGTATGCGATAATGCCACCAATACCCACAGCGGTACCGATAAGAAAGGGTCTCCCAAGAGACCTCATTGAGGAGCGTGCACTGGCCATTATGGTGCAGAGATGCTAGCTGCAGGTGTATGGAAGAGAAGGACGAGGGAGGGACGAAAGCAGGAGGGGGGCAGTGAGGGATGAAGCGCAATGATCTGCGGAGTATGGTGTTGTCAGCGGCCGTCTCGGAGCAAGGAGGGGGGGAAGGGAAAGGGGGATGGCGGGGGAAGCGGAAAATGATCACTGCAGTGCGAGAATAGAGATCAAACTTCTTACACGTGAAAACCAGACAAATGAAAGCCGAAAGTGGTTCAGCCGGAAGGCCCAGCAGAGCTACCGGTATCATACGTCACTGGTTGAATCCCGGACAGAGGAGGATCTTCCAGGAGCACGAGTGCGACGCAGCTCAGACCCCCCGAGTATCAGCCCTATGCTCCTCCCACCGCTTGACCGAGACGCTTCTGTTTTTTTTGGTGCAAGTGGATCAATGTCGAAAGCATTCCCTTTAACCTGCCGTGCAAATGGTCGGGAACAAAAGGCAGATGTAATTAAACGAAAAAAACAGCGGTACAGTACCTTTTGACCTTATACTTCTTGAGGCTTGACCCTCATCACGGAGAGATGCAGTCTGGCGCTGAAAAGCCGCTAATTCCCTCCACGCTAAGCCCTTTCGAACAGACAAGAAGTTCTGTTCTCCATCCCCCGTACTCGAGTACAGTACGTACAGTGCTCGAGTGCTTGGCATACTCCGGCTTCTCTCTCCGGTGAGAGGACCGAGATCTCGGGCCTTGTTTGTCCCTCATGAGCACATGCCGGCACCAGTAGTCCAGTAGGGCTAGGGCTAGTAGGGCCAGCACGAGCAATACAGGTTACAGCGTCGTGCTTGCACCTGCCGCTACGTGCAGCAGGGAAGACATCATACGAGTACAACAGGAACTCGAGCCCCACAGAGTTGATTCCCCTCTAAATTAGCCATCCTCTCGAGATGGTGGCGATCTCGAAGGTCAGGTGATGTGGCTGGTGGTTACCCTGCTTGGACGGTGGACGTTGCAAGGAAAGTCTCGCTCGCCGCACAAATACGAGTACGAGTGCGGCCGATAAATATATTCGTCACGTGCCTTATCTAAGGACACATCGCAGCCAAAAGGTGCACCAAAATTTTCTTATCAGACTCACGTGACGAATATATCTATCGGCCGCACTCGTACAATGCGGCTCAACAATACGGTATCAGGTGGCCACAAGAGTCATACTGGTACTATATCCTTGTTCCCGCGCGTCAGTCGCGTCAGGGTATTGCCCCCACTCCGGGTGAATATCAGGAGCTCCATTTCCTTTCACTCTCGTCACGCCAACCCGACTTTAAACATCTCACGATGCATCGCACGCGCAAACCAGGAAGTCCCCTTCCCAAGCTTCAAGGCCGGACAAGAAACCAACCCGGTCCCAAGACCATCATACACCCCCGTGTTCCGTAACCTCAGCCGAAGAGAAAGAAGAAAAAATGCTTATATATTCAACAACCCCGTGAAAACCCTAACCCCGTCTAGCATTCACGAGATATTGTAGCAAGCATGGTAACAACATTCGACAGGATGGCTTAAAAGATTGTTCGACGCCTTATGAACGCGATACCTTGCATTTGTCTGGCCTCGCATGGAATCCTTCGTGATGATAGAGGACATGTATCCTGCCATGCATCATAACCAGCCACGGTGACAAGCACCCACTACGGACAGGTAATCATCTCAAGTTGTCCGAATTCGAGGATATTACCTTTGCTAGGCTAATCCATCGCCTGCCCAGGACTTCTCTACCCTGATTGTCTCCGTCACCTGCCCGGCAACTCCTCTGCCGAATGTTCTCCTGAAAGTAATGGCTTCGCAATGCCATCCAACAAACCGCCAACCAAAGCTCCCCCCCGCTCTGAAATCATATCTCTGCCATCTCACAAGCGAATCCATTGCCGCACATTTCGCCATTACAATTTCAATTTGGCCACCAATCGCTCGGTGTATTCACCGGGCTCCCGAAATTCTCAATTCATCCACTCCACACCTTGTCGCAGTGTATGACCTGACTTCCTCCATCCTTTGAACCCTTCAGTTCAGAGGACGCCCGTCTTGCGTCCCTTTTGCCCGACAGGGTGAGACTGGGAGACGTATCGCCTACCGGGGTGCGGTGAAGTACTGGCACAACACTGGTAAACCCGAAGACAGCGTGGCATGGTTCAAACTCTCTGGCCCACTATCGGATAAAATGAGTTACCCTTGGTTTCCCCTTCTCTCGTTGAATATATTGGACCAACAAAGACTTAAGAATGGTGACGCTTCCGCCGTCTCTCCTCCCTCGAGACGAGATGGACGATACATGGAAATCACCGCTGCTCATTGCGGCGGAACCGTGATTGGGTTTTTTTGTCCGTTTTCTTCATTTTCGCTGAAGGAACAGTGAGAGGGAAAACCCTCAACCCTTTTATTGCTCTTCTGGAGATCTCAAAATAGCATCCCAACTTGCATATTCAAGGTGAAAATTCCTTCTCCGTGACCGACACAGGGTCTCCCCGCTGCGGTGTTCTACAAAAGCATTGCGTATTGCCTAGCTCTTCAGCCACGAACTGGTCCATGAGCTTCACCAATCCCGACCGCACCAACCCCAGAGAGAATTTACCTTATCGGGCTGCTCGAACTTCATCTTACGGGGGATTACTCCCCAGCATCCACATGCAAAAAGAGATACCAGATTGTCAACGGCTAACCAAAATCACGAGACATGGGCACTGCCTGCAATCCCCACCCCCGGACCGCCATCAGGAGGACACCCTTGCCATCTTAGTGGTCGGGCCAATGAGTCCCGTCAACGATTTCACAGAAATCCATATGAGGGATTCCCAAAGGCCAGCTTTTCGATACCTTCCCACCGCCCGAGGACCGGAAACTCCTGCTGTGTCTTGACTTGCTATTATTCCTCGAATTGTATCTAGAGAGAACCGGAACAGTGTCGAGGAGGGTCAGGCTCCCCTACCGAAACACGAAAGCGCTTGGATACGGTATGATGCGCAAGGCAATATGGCGGCGGCCGCCGATGGGCAAGTGTTCACGATACTCAAAGATAAGAAGTGAATAACCATCACAACGTAACTCATCACGACTGACCATAATCCAATACAAGGGCCGGATTGATGCTAGCCGGTTGCACTAGGAATTATCTCAACAGCTTCCCAATCGACGAGATGACTAGATCGGGTGGTGTTTCCTCGCCTTCAGGGGGGTATTAGTGGCATCCTTAAACCTATGGCTTCTTAGGGGCATACTCGCTCTTTGTGGGTGGCATCACCAATAGTCAACCCTACTGCACTAAGTACGCCAATAAATCCCGGCCCAATGTATCTGTGCACGGCCCAGGGATGCACAAATTCTGCGGAGGCCGAGTGCATATCCGTACCACTACATCCTCGATATACCCATTCTATACGCCAACAACCCAGAAGCTAGAACAAATATACGCCCGTCCTAAACACCCCGCAGGCTGCACGCACGTAGCCATAATGGCCACACCGGTGGCCCACAAGAAAACACCACCACCCCCGGTCGATACATCCTTTTAGCGACAGGCAAACCGCTCCGGACGCCTTGGGAACAGCGAGAGGTCACGGTTGAGGTTCTGGTCCTGGGTTCCCTTCTGCTGCGTATGGCACTACACTCGTTCATGCCCAAATGGGGTGTATGGCTGAGCAATGCAATGCGCTAAGAGTCTTCAAAAACGACCATCCTGCTAATTAATTGTGTTTTCCAGCTTCGCAGTACCATCCGGAAAAATCCGAATTGACGGGAAGCCTAACAACTCTACAACTACGCTTGAAGGACTGAAGGGCGACGCAACATTCTATGCTTCCCCCTTTCTGAATAAAATTTGTCCCCGCAAAGGCTGGGAGGATCCTACCTATGTTCGTATCATATCAAGCTATTTCCAGTATATTGGCCGGACCGGGTACTAGTGATCTTGTTATAAAAGACCTTGGTGAAGCCAGGAACCTACAACGAACACCAGAGTTTGCAGCGCTCGTTGTGGCAATAGTGGTCACAATCTCACACAAGCACACGCCTGTTATCATAATCTCGCCCATGTGCTTCCATGCCCCCCTGCGCCCCCCGTCCGTGATTGCTAAGCTGAAATTTTAAATCCCGCAGTGATCCCGAAAGCAGACGTAATCAAGTCCGGTGCAGCCGCAGCAAGCAAGATCACCCCAACTTTCCAAAAGCACTTATTATCAACTAACAGTTAACTATTTAGGGATGCTCTTCATAAATGTGCAAATGCACTTTCCAAAAGAAACGAAATGAAAGCAAGTATGGTAATAGGAGAGACCTACGCCTGCAAAACTGCCAAAAAGATGTCTAGAGATAACGTCGCAACCCGTGCACTTCCACCCATAATTGCCCTATCAGCCCCAAGCAAAGTCACTTCGATGACATCCGCAAGCCCTCGAGGAAATCTCTGCACGCGCAGCACATGCTGGCCAGTAATACATCATATTCTCACACCACACCAAATGACCAAGCCAACGGCGGTGCGTAGCGAAGCAGGAATTTACCAAAAAAGGGTAAGTCGTTCCCCTCTGAGAATGAGTGAATTGTTTCCAGCAGGGCTGATTTTTGTTTCCCGCCCGCCGGATCAGTGTTGTGCCATTCTGCCGGCTCCATGCGTCAGACTCGCCTGTTAGGAACCCGGGCAGTGGCACTGCTTCCTCATTGCGCCCTTTGAGCAGCAACTTCCCCGGGCCGGTATATCGAGCGCTAAGAGCCGACGAATCACCGCCGTGACGCATACTCTTTCATCGCAAAACTGTTCACTTGGTCCAATGCCCGACTCTTTGGCAATGCGCCCTTTTCCCTCCCTCTCACTTCCTCCTCCCCAGCGACTAAATCACCCTTAGCTTTCATCACTATCTATCCCCCGTCTCTTGAATGTTTCTCCAAGTCTTGGGCTAGCCTGTTTGAATACCAACCCACCGCCATGGCTCCGCTGTTCCTCCAGGAGGCGGTGTCTCTACCTCCACACCGAGAATTCCACTCTACGTATCCCCTGTTCTCAGAACACTCGGAAGCGGGGGTCCTCCACTGAGCATTTGCTCACAAGGGTGTTTCTCATCGGTGGATCGGTGCGGAGGTTACGCGATAGGGCGCTTCCCATCTTTGACGCCATGTCTTGCAGCGCTGTGCCAATGCCAGATGGAGGATCAAGCGGAAACAAATACAATCACGGGACGTCACTCGATAGGGATGTGCTTGCTTTTAAAGATAATGCTTTAAGATATGCCCACTTGTGCTTGACAGCCGAGACACGCCCATGGCTACCATCCCGCTCGATAAGACCCGAATACTCGAGGTTTGTGGGCAAGTTTAAGCGGCTAATTTAGCAGCTAACCTGCCGTATTGTTTTTTTCTCTTGCTAGCCAATGCTTGCTTTTTTTGCCATGTCTCTCCCGTTCGAAATGTTGTACCACAGTACGGATTAGGACTACCCCCTTTGATTATAATTGGTGCAAGCCGAAATTAAGATATTACATTATCCGATGATACGGTACCGGTACAACTCTCGCTCCGGGCCATAAGTGCCCGAAAACAGGGGGGTGGCATATTTTTCTACTCGAATAGCATTTTCGAACAAATCGACCCCAGATTTTCCACCACATATTTCAATGATCCCTGTCTTTGGGGCACTTATGGTCGTAGGACAAGCACTTGTAGGAGTACCGTACTGTACTCGTACTCGGGTACACCTAAGTTCGCAATGTCCTCATACTCCCCCAAGTACGGTCAGCCCTTGGAAACTCTTCGCCAGCCCTTTCTTAGCAAAAAAAGAAAACAAATTCTGATAAAGGTTTACAATATCGCCGTCTCCGGGGGGGTGCGATCAAAAAGTCTCTTGCTGTTTCCCTGCTGTGAATATGTATGGTTCCTGAGGCACGAGGAAGGGTACGAGAAGCTTTCGGATAGGAGAGTATGTGATACCAGCGCAAGTACTGGTATGATACTCACATAATACACAACCCTCCAGCGAGGTCCCAGGTCACATGTCACTATGATAGTGTACGAGTACTCGTACAGTCCTTCACCCATCCACCACCGTCCCAGGAGCTCTTACCAAAAAAGGGGTTTACCGACCCGATAGTTTGAAGAAAAGAAAAGAAGAAAAGAAGAAAAGAAAAAAAAAAAAAGAAAAAAGAGAGAGAGATACAAGTAGAAGAGAACCCCACCAAATATTACCGGAACCCGGCGTAAGCATTTCCAAGCCTACCTGCCCCTACAGGGATGTCACGCGTGAGGGGTTGAAAGGGGGAGGAGGGGGTGGGAGTTCATCATATCATGGCTATTTATACTTGTACAACTGAAACACCATGCGAGAGTGTCGCCTTTTGTTATCTGCGATACCGAACAAAAAGTCATATGGGATCGGTGGGTCGGTGAGTTGCCCAGCCTTTTTTTTTTTCTGAATTCGTACATTACAGTCGGGGATGGGGTACCTTAATGCACCGTACTGGCAGCTGGTATTGGTACTCGACTACCGTACCGTTAAAGTACTTGGACAGTGGGACATGTTTCACTCGGGAATAAGGTTGTACAAGTGCTCGTACAAGGGTTGCATTACTGGCATCACTTTCGCTTTTAATTTCTCCTTTTTTCTTTTTCTTCTTTTTTTCCTCTTCCTCTTCTTTGCCTGCGCAGAAAGCTAGGGCAGATCTGGTATTACAAGATTTACAAAGTTTTTCATTTCAAAACTGGAAAGGGAAGAAAACAAAGTGGAAAACAAAAAAAAAAAAAACTAAATTTGCGGAAAACTATGGTAAACAGAGAGAGCGAAATCAGAAATGTTTATCCAACCCCCTAGAAAAAGAAACACTGAAGAAACTACCGTACACTACCGCTGCGCGTGAAATCATGGACGGGATGTAAGAACGTGAAAATAAGATCAACTCATGACAAGAATTTATCGCGGAGCACAGAAGCTTGGCTGCGAAACAAAGTAGAAAAAAAGAAAAAAAAAAAACAGAAAAAGAGGGGTCAAGAAACCCCCCACTCAGAATTGCCACTGCACGAGATCTAATACCGCTAACAATTCATGGCCTCAAATACCTCACCCGCGCAACGGGAGTTTGGATAATGCCCCGTTCATCATCCGAGCACTCGGGAGATTCGTGGCCATAATTACCGCAGAGAGAGCAACTCTTGTACTTGATTTCATGGCTGTGATGTCTGGTATGAGTGACCACCACTTTGTCGGCTGAGTGGCGGGGGTTAGAGTGCTCTGCCACCAGGAGCAACCTATCGCCGGAGCCGCGCGGGGAGGCGAGCCTGCCCATGGAACTCGATCGCTGATACGCGTGCGAGATTCTCTGCCTCGCTGCCTCCTCTGCATACCTCCACTGCCTGCGCTCTTCTCTAGACCTCGACCGGTGCCTTTCCTCTCGCTTCTCGTAAATCTCCTCAATCTCTTTCTGACACCTTGCACTCTCCTCTTTTTCCCTCGCCCTCCGCTCCTCGTCCAACGAGTTCTCGAGGACGGCGACCTGATTCCTCAGCATGTTCTCCGTCGCCAGCTTCTGTGCAATCTCGGAGGCTGCTTGCTCGATGTTGATGTTGAGTATTGTCGGCGTCGGCTCTGGTTTCTGCTCCTGCGGTGCGGCAACGATGACTTGCGTCTCCGTGTGTGTGTATTGCGGTTGGAGCGCGTATTGGCTATTCGAAGATGGGTAGACCACTGCTGGGGGAGGGTAAATTACCGGCACCGCGATCTTGTGGTTGGGGGTTGAAGTCCGGCGTCTTTCAATGATGATCTGACTGCGACGGGCAGTCACTTCGGGTTCTAGGTCGAACCGGGCATCGCTGAAGCAAAGAGGCATTGCGAAGTTTTGCTGGGAGTGCTCGGCTTTGTGCTGGTGCGGGTGGGGTGAGTGGATGGATGGATAGTGGTTTGATGGATGAAAGGGCGGGTGGTGGATGGATGGAAGGTTGCTTGTGACTGATATCAGGAAGGGGGACGGGAGGATGTTGTATGTTTATATAGCTTCTTATTTTTTGGTAGAAAGAAAGAAAAGACTATTCGTGTGACAAATGCAGTCGTGTGATGATAGCTGAGAGGCAAAGTATGCTATTTATTGATGTGTTTCTGTCTGATAGTGCGAATCGTGTGTCGGGGTAGCATGCTGAATGTATCAAAGGCGATTACTTGCGCGGGGCCCGGGACTTTATACACCGCAATGCGTGCCCAGAGTTGGGCCATGCACCCCTGCACGTCCACTGGGCAGGAGGGGGGAGGGTGTGAGGAGGTGTGCTGCAGAAGAGTAGCTGCATAATGGCAACCCAAAAGATGGGCAAAGAGGCGCAGATTACTCGTAGAAGCACAGTCTGCGAGATTAGGGCAGTACTCGAGTACCGCAGGCGCCAGATTTTTCTTGGGGGGGGGCGCCTGCTTCAGATCGACCCCTTATGCAAGGGGACCTTATTTGATAGGATGGTCCCGTTCCTCACCACTACCGTATCCTTACCTACGGACAGCACCAGGCTAGGTGCGTACGATACAGATAGTACTCGTGAGGGCATACGGTATCAAAAAACCTCATGGAGAGGCCCTTCGAAATATTGGTCGCGTGAGATTTTGCTCCCAATCCTGACTCAAAATGATCCGGGTGGAGGAGTCATATACCGGTGGCTAGTTCATCACGCCGACCGGGCGACCGCTGGTCTTTCCTCAGCGACGTGTTCCCCTTGATGAAATAAGGCCCACAATAACAACAGTAATGATAAACCAATGAGTTGAGCCGCCGTTTGTATTGTCCTCTCCAGCGGATAATGGTGGAAGGAGGGGGAGGCACCACCTTCCCGGTCCCGGGCAACACAAAGCACACAGACACAATCTGCAGGTCAATCTAGCGAGAACCCATCAGCCAACCAAACCACTTCAGCTGGCTCGGCCCCACAGGGAAAAGAGGAAGAAGAAAAAGTATCCAGCCAAGCCTCGAGGCAGGACACTGACACACCGCTCAGCCCTGATAAGAGATTTCGCGTGTCTAGGAACATGCGGGGAGGGCAAAATTGTGAGACCCCGATCCACTACCATACGGTATCGTAGTATGATGTATGATACCGCTCTGGTCCAGGGAATAATACGATACCTGAAATCTACGGCGGCAGGCCGTATGATGCAGTACGGTATCATAAGAGGCATGTTCAGCACCCCTGTAGTTGGCGGAATCCCCCAACATTGGGGATGGAGCCCATCCTCGCCAATCCAAGCGTATGTCAAGGTTAACCCCCGTGAATTAGCAGGTAAGACCGGTATTGTTCCAGGGGAACATGCAGGGACCCTATGCCTTCATTATTCTAGACCTATTGCGCCCTAGATAGAGCGGTAGAGAACAATATTATGGTACCCTTACCAACCGCTTTGAACAGTAGCATCAAGCGCGAGCTTAGAAGCAAGGGACGCATAAGCAAGGGGACACTCCCTCGAAGGAGGGAAACTACTGCATCAACCGCTACAAGCGCGCTCGCGCGCTTGCCTCACTAGCCCAAACCATTCCAAAAATAAATGCGGTACTGGATTCTAGTGAGTTTGAAAAATCTGTCGGGGGGCCCCGAGTTACCGACGGCCTGTTCCGCAAGCGCCCTCATACACTATTACTCGTAGTCCAGTCCAAGGGTGGATGATGAGCTCATTGTGCAGCACGGAACTCGCGCGAATGCTCCGCAGTAATCGAATTTTCCATCCACCCCCTCCTGTGGCTATGTATAGCCACACGGGCCTGCTTACCTCCGAAAAAGCACATAGCACTCTCGGTCGCTTCACCAGTGCTGAGAATGGGCGAGACGGGATTCGGCACGTGATCGCACGCCCCCTCTTGATCTCTTGATGGAAGGTATCATATCGTTTCCCCCTTTTTCTTTCACGGGCGGGGGGGGTTTTTTTATCCCACGCCACTAGTATGATACTTTATTTCGCGCCCGGTGATGGAGTAAGGGATGAGCCGACGGGGGAAGAAAAGAACAGCAAGATGCCACGCTAGTTAAGGCACGGTTTCACGTTTACTCTACCCTTTTCCAATGGGCACGCGAAGGGCATCTCTAGGTGCCGCACCGTACGATGTTATGGAGCTTCCGACTGGAAGGGGCACCATAGCTTGCATGTTCGGCGTCAGGATAAGGTTCTGTCCACCGTACCCAGTCATCTATAATACAGCGCAGATGTACGGGTACGGTAGGCTGGGCCGTTCGAGTACCTGTACTGTGCGCTATGGCACCCCATTTGTACTCGTCAAAATAAGGACAACACCGTACCCAATAGCGGACACGCACCAGACAGGCATGGAGCCTTTAAACAGTTGGCTCCGCGGAAGAACTCGTCCTCCACCCGATTCACCACCTCACCAAAACCACCGTCCAAACATCTGAAACCGAACCCTCGCGAGAACCGCCATTTCACGCACATTGTGAGAAGGGTCATGTCGAAAGCCTAGTCCGTATCAAAATGGTCCCTAGCCACGGGGCCGCCCTGAACACCGCTGACAGCGTAGAGGTGCTCTACCGTCCGGCCGGATGTAGTACACCACGCCTTTGGCCAAAGGGCTGCGGTAGGCCTCGAATCCGCACACAGGGTTCGACCCACATCCTGTTACTATGATATGATGTTATGATGGCGGTATGTGATGAATCCCCTTTCCCCGAATCCTCCCTCCGGAGTCTGCCTCTCTTGCAGTTCGCGTTCGTAAACCTCCCGTGTTCATGATCCCACACCATGGCATGGATATAAGGCTGCAGCGTACCGCAACAAATACCCGGAACCACGACGCCTCAACCACTACAAAACTATGGTACCTTCTAGCTGTCAGAACTCTATTCTGGCATTACTCGCAGCAGACATCCCACCCACCTCCTCATTTCATTGGGCGAAGCCCCGCCCTGTCCTGAAAATCAATGATATCTTGCTGCCACAATTCACGGATAAGGTAAATCCTACCGTATCGCTACGCTTGGATGATCCCCGATAAGTTTGCCGCAGCCACGGTAGCCCATGTGGAGATCTGGAACGCTTCTTTCAGCTGCTGTTGGTTCCACAGTTGTCGTAATCAGATGGGCAGTGTTAGCTTTGGTTCACTGATCAGCTGCGGGGGGGTGCTCGTGGTGGGGCATGATGGTCACGGGGGTAAACCGTAAGACACCCCAAGGTGAGCCATCATCACCGGAGGGAGACGGAACAGCAATTCTTTTGTGTGAATAGTGAGGCAGCCTGTGCCTCCCCGAGTTCGTATTCTCGAGCCGTGTCTATGGCTGCCCGAAATTTGTCTTGGGGTCCACGGGCGCATCGGCAAAGTTCCTGTGACACCGGTACAGGACTCGCTAAGATTGGTGGTCGCCCCCGACCTTCCCCACACAAGAAATCTCTCCACCACTCCTGGCTCGTAAGAATTGCACTTGCTCCGACCGCCCCTCGATAGTACTGGAGACACCGGTTTCGCGAGATATTGGGTTTATGACCGATACCAATGGGTGTAATCCCCCTACCGGTATCACCTGCCGGAGGAGGGTGACTTCCGTCTTGCCACTGGCGGCTATGGAACCCCATGGATAGACTCCCTGATTTACCTGTGCAGAAACAGCCCCACTACCACCACCACCGCCACCCCACCTTGTTCTTCTGGCTGTCCGCAGGTTTGGGGAGTGCCAAAACTGAAAAACTCCCGCCGCACCATGAAACTCAAGTTATCCCAAGTCAACATAATCCACACAAATGAGAGTCAAGGCAGTGTGTCTGGTCCACGCTGATTAAAGCCAAGAAATGTGCTTTATCCATTCCCATCATACCAGGTATCATGAACCAAAAACTGGAAAAAGAGTTATTCAAAAGTATTTAAAAAAAATACGAAGAAAAGTGACATCTAGGTTTGGATACCTATTTCTCCTTTTTCCAGTACTATTGTTGAAAGTGACAGTCGTATTGATGCACTCTCCGAATACTACTTGGAAGGTTTTTCATAATGTGTTTTTGTGAAAAATGGGTTTCATCTATTTTTCCGGAAACCTTCGTTTTGGGCTCATTATTGCTCATTATTGCAATTTGAATGCCATATCCCCACGTCAACTAGACATGCCACTCCAAAGCAAAATAAATTTGCTGTAGAGTTTTGCTGTAAGCCTCCATAATTAGGCGCAAAATGAAGGATTTTTTGGCGTGGCAGCCAGACGCCCTAAGAATCGAATCGCACTTACGGTATTTCCCATAACCTTCCAAGACTACTAGATAAACTAGTTTCTAGGGATAAGTTACCTTACTCACGAGCGATACCGCAGCTACCAACATTCCACAGCTCTCCCGTCAAGGCTGCCAGAGGAGAGAAATTGCCCTGTCGCCACGGGGGAGGCTATACCCCGGAAACCTACTCGGCGACCACTACACTATAAAATCTCTTAGAACCCACTACCAGATTATCAGCCGATACCAGCCCATCAGCCCACGATATGATTTTCTTGACGGTTAATAGAATCACGAATGCGAGTTGACGAGATCCACCACGTGTCATATGAGGAAAATGCCAACACTTCTATGGGGGCTGTTACCTCTTCGAAGGCGGAGATTACAGGGCTGGGGGATATGATGGAGGTCGGGCGTTCACACCATATTGCACCGAATCGACATGACAGCTGATGCTCGCTGCAAGCTCTAGACATCCCGAGTGGTATACATTGTGACCGCTTTTACCTTGCGTTTCGACGCACACGAGGCTTGTGCTTGTAATTTAGATTACAGTAAGCGCTTCTTGTTGGCGGTCACACAGAAGAATGATAGAATTCTGTAGATCATCTTGAAAGCGACGGGAGCACGGTGGAGCATTTAAGAGCGCTGTGGATTGTTCTGGAGGTCCAGCGATTTTGCGGACAAGTCTCTCCAGACATGCCCTTCATTGCTATCGCGGCGGTGTATGGAGGAATAGGGACATGCATAATGCGGACACGCGTGGAGAAAGAGAGATACCTGTAGTGGTCTATGGAAAGGCAGGAAGGCTTTGATCCTGTATATCATATACTCCTGTCATTACTGTTAGCCTAGAGAGAGAGAGAGAGAGAGAGAGATGGGACAAACAAGACAATGAAGTTTCTAATCACACCCTTCTCTTGCACTGCGGGAGTCTGGAGCTATGACACCACTATACCACTGCGCAATTTTCTAGCCAGCCCACAGCAATTCACCTTCTCCCAAGACGCTTCTTTCGTTCCGTCCCCCGACACCTGCGCAGTGTTCGCAAGCGGCCGGGCTAGCCAGGATTTGGGCCTGGCCTGGCCGGACTGTCGACTTTAGGCCGGCCCACGAGGCTCATCTGACCGCGCCTAGTCCGGCTGCGGATACCCTGCTGGTTTCCGAGTGATTCATCGTGCTTATCATTTTGGGGAAGTTTTTAGGACGTGTGCATACATTGATACAGGCCTAACACCACACCAGCGGACGTGCCAACAGTGCCCGCATATGCCTGGCTATACCTGTGTGGCATAATACATACATGATTACTGCTTACAGCCCTGGTGGTTAAAGACCGCCGGGTGCAGGGATTAATGCAGATCGGGAAAGTACACTGTATATCCTCGCCTGAACCTTCGTATTCAGCCTGACAATTATGATCGAGGAGGGGAGAAATGGTTAGCTATCCGGAATAGCCAGGATTAAGAGTGCCCGGGGGGACACCGTCGTGGAGGAGAGGCCTAAGTGAGAGTGATGGGGATTTAAGGTTCGTAATGATAGTGAAATGGTGGGTAAAATCGCTCCACAACCAAATCATCATTAATATTAATGTGAGAGTAGTTTATCCATGTTTTAGGAATATGCCGAATGGTAGGAAATTGCCCCACATCCATACTGCCACTGCCCTCTGTGCTTTGAACCTGTCGGAGTGTTTTTGCTTTCTCTCCGCTTACCCAAGGCCTGAACCGGGACCGACTGCCAGTTAAGGGGATCTGCCTTGTCGGAATTGACATTGTCCCGCTCCTGGGAGTTCCTCGCAATCCTAGCAAGCCCTTTAGGGAGATCCAATGACAGTGGTGTTTAGTTTTCGCGATATAGCGTGGCGGTGAGGACACCTTTCCTATTGTAAACGCGACCCTACTATCGCTTCACGCTCACCCGCCCGCGGGAGTGGGGTGTGGCCATATTCAGTGTTAGCGATAGGGATTGACATCTTGTCGCTCCAAAAGCAGCACCACGCCTTCACGCTGATGGTAATATAATCCTGCTATACGATAAAGGTGGACATGCAGGAGCGTGTAGATGTGTAGGCAGCTGTGTGCTATCTGTGTGGGGTCACACCCCAGATGTGGTGTTTGTATGGGGCTCTAACCCAGCAGAGGGGTAGTCTATATATATGGGTCAGTAGTTAGCTGCTTGTCTGAGTATCGAAGATCTTCTCTCCTCTCCTCCGATCCAGTGCACGAGCGACCACGTCTTTCCACTGCCATAACACGCACCGAAGGAAGCCGTCCGCGAGCGTGGGGTTGTGCCACAACGGGGGTGTGCCTTGTGAAGATGCCGTCGGACATTACAACTTATCCGAGGATATTTTCAGGCATCTATAGGCATCCACGGGCATCTGAAGATACCCACTACCCGTTGAGAAAATACTCCTGCGGGCTATCTACCGGTTGACCTGGGCACCTGAAAACACGAATCGAGTCATATATTGTGAACCTGGAGATGGGTGCCAGACTGGCCAGCTCCGATCGACCTAAAATGGTAAAAAGGCAGGTGTACGATATGGTTCAGAGCATTCAAAATTTGTACCAAGCCAGTAGCATCATGTAATGTCCCATTTGTAAGAAGGAGGGTAATGAATAGCGAAAAGGGTCGGGGATTGAATATCAGAAGTTCAACTATCCCCCCCGCCCGTGAGATTTCTCTCTTCGATTCAAATCCAATGTGCCATAAATACTGGCTTGATGATACCTTAGCATATCACTTCACTCCTCCCACCAATACCCCCACATCAATTGCTTGCAACTTCAGTTGCACGACTTCCATGATAGAGCGCTGGGAGAATCCAAATCTCCCAGCGGGATTGTGGATGCATATAGAGTAAAGGCTGTCCATGCTTCTACCGAATACGAGAGACCTGAGAGCAGAGGGCACAAATCCTACAAGGGGTGAACAATCCATACGATACCTACTACAGGTGTTTGAACCCTTTTCTGTCCCTCACAACATTACAGCAGTGCGATATAACGCTGGGGAGGGAAAACAGAGGGGAAAAACCAAACTCCGACAGTAACCGAACACCGGACCTCCAAAACCCATTCTGAGTACGCCGGTCGTCCAGTCAGGAGACGCAGACCAAAACACTAGGGTGTGCTCCCTAGTGACCACTGTTGCACCGATTCTTCTGCCACCCCAAGTTCTAGAGAAGAACCCTTCGAGCATACCAAAGTCCCAAGTACGCAGCGCAACACCTCCCGATTCTCCTCCGCTCCACCACTCCAACCGGAAAGCAAGAGCATCCCGAGGTGATCGGCCCCGGTTGGAATAGGGATCTCACCACACCGGTCCACCGCGGTTCCAACAAGAAAAGCCACAGCTCACGAACTACCAACTAGGGGAAACAGCAGCCAAGCTGTAGACGCAGGGCCCAGTTCGCTGGAGCGAGAAAGATGGAAGAACTAGTGTTGGAAAGGCCCCGCCGGACTCACAAAATCCGGCCCTTAGGGACTCCGGCTAATGACCTCATCTTTCC